CTCGTGTAAACGCATGCCTGTAGTTGGTTGAGAGCATCGACCCCGTATGCCGGGCGAGTTTTCGCCGGCCCAAGCCAACGGAGGGTGGGGCAATGAGATCGTGTCAGATACATGGCAGAGGAAGGCAAAGGATAGAGGCGGGAGAGAGGCGGTGGGAGAGAGAGAGACTCTCCGGAAATACGGCGGGAGGGAGGGGGTGGGCGGGGGCAAAAGAAAGGTCCTCCCGGATATACATATCGAGAGATTGACGCCATTACAAGCCCTAAACACAGCACGGCGTAGTCGGGCCGTGTTTTTTACGCCTGAGGTACCGAAACAATTGGCGAGATTTGAGCTGAGAACAAGCACAGGTTGGTATCGACAACCCTTCGCGTCAGAAGTTGCCTCGCGGGGGTCCCGCCCCAGTATTTACCCGCCCTTCCTTACCTCAGGTACATTAATTAGGGCGCGGGGGGGAAGTGGGGGGTGGGGGGGCGCACGGAGCCCGTTTGGCGATCAAGGCGAAACTCGTGAGGCGCAAAACAAGAAACGACTACGTTGGGGGTTGCTTCCGGACAAAACCTTTGGATCCGTTTCGAACTAAAGCTCTCGCGAATGGTTGACGTCTGGAAGGATAGCTTGGCTCAACGTCTGTATCACCCAGCTCAACCTCCCTAACGTGTGGTGTTTACATGTTTGCTTGTTCCCCCGCAACAGGCACGGCATCAACTTCGCGCCATCCCTGATGTGTGCTTCAACGTGTGTTTGTAAGCGTGCTTGAAGGCAACGAAATCAGCCAGCAAAAGAGTCAGAGCCCCCCCTAGGAACCCAAAAACCACTACACCCCCGACACGACACACTCACGGAGCTTATGGCGGATTTGAACTTGCGACGGGCGTTGAAGAGCCGAAGCTTGCCCATGTTGGCGCCCAGGTCGTGCTTCTCCAGCTCCGCCGCATCTCCCACTACCCAGGGGTGCTCCAAGGCCTGCTCAGCTGTGATTCGCTTATCCTGAAAAGGGACAAAACAAATAAAAATCGCGGAAAAATCCACAGCCAGCAAGACACGAGAGAAAGAGGAGGTGGCCGGGAGTGGAGAGGCGGAGTCAGGTGCAAAACACACACATACCAGGGTGCAGCATTGTCGAAAGCGAAAAAAACGTACCACAACGAGGATGGTGTTTCAATATACTCCAAGGCAACATCCAACGATCGATCCAGGTCGAGGCGTCCTCCCTACCCCCACCCCGCCTGCCATCGGCTCGGTACCAGATCCCGCGCCAGCCCCATCGTCATTTTTTGTGACAGTGCCGTGTGCTACTAGTGAGCCATCAAGCAAGCTATTCAGGGGAGCGGATACACAGAGAAACACACAGAGAGAGAGAGAGAGAGAGAGAGAGAGAGAGAGAGAGCCATTCACAACCGCAACAGGTCGTACTCATTTCCCGTTTAATCGTTGCAGCGTCCGTTTGCGCTGTTAGCTAAGATGTCGTTGGCGCCGCTGCCAATCCTCATACGGTACCCGCCGGGGTCGGAGAGGGGGCCATCTCGCAACCTGTGCTCATCAATCGCCTCAATCGGGCCGTCATGCCATTAACGACACGTGACCACCCCACGACCATACACGCTCAACATCAAAAAATCGAATGTAGCACCACGAAATTTGGCCATAAAAGCCATTCCGATGCTAACGGCCCTTGGCGCCTTCATTCGCGATAATAACGAACCTGTTTGTGACGTGTGATCTAGGGCGCTTGCGTTTCTCCCGTACCAACACAATCGGCGCAAAAAAGAAAAAGAACGTCTGTCGTGGTTGACGGACGTACTCGGCGATCGACAACGTTACAATCCCACCAGGCGTCCTGGTCACTTGCTTCACCTTGTCTAACGTGAGCATCTTCTTGATGAGGTCTTTCGCCTCGTCCGACACGGTACTCCAATATTGAGGGTGGAACAATACTTTCCCTGTTGGTGCAGTGTGCAGCAGCGGTGGGGCGTTGAACAACGAACGGCGAGAGAGAGACACAGACAGATAAGAGACAGAGACAGAGACAGAGACAGAGACAGACAGACAGGGAGAGGCAGACGACAGACAGGCAGATAAGAGACAGAAAGAGAGACGGAGGGAGGCGCAAGCTCGAAGGTCGTTTGACGTGGCACGAGGGCGGGAAGCAACGCCATCCAACCGCGGTCCACAACCACACACCAGGAACAACGATAACGCAACACGCCAAGCCCAGCAACCACAACAAAAAAAACATAAAAGAACAAATGGAACATGGCATCCCGTAGGACAGCGTCGCCTAGCTGCAATCCAAGCCAGGCTAGCATACAAGCCCGAACACCGGCAGTCAAGGCGGCCAGTCCCCTCTGTTCCAGCACAACCAAGCCAGCCAGGACACCAAAACACACAACGGAACGACGACAAGAACAAGAACAAGAACAAGAACAAGTATAATAAGACTCGCACCACGCGCGTACATCGCACTTTGGTGGGAGCGCGCACGCAGCAGAGGAGCATACAGCCGTAAGGCACGTCGTGCACACACACCCCCACCTCATCCTCACCCTTCTTAATCTTCTGGTACAGCTTGGCCTGGTTGTCGTCGTGGAACGGAGGGTATCCCCCGAGCAGGATGTAGGTGATCACCCCGATACTCCAGATGTCCACCGGCTTGCCGTAGACTTCTCCCTTCAAAACCTCGGGCGCCACGTACCTACAAATGTGGGTACAATCCAGGTCGTTTGCAACGAACCACACGGGTCGGCAAGAAGGCCAAGGCCACGATGCATTCGTTTGCGACACTCAACACACGCAACGCAGCTGTAACTTGAGTGCATCGGCCGGTCCGAAGTATCGCTTACGAACAATCGTGAACAGACTTCTTGCGGGATAGGACGGAAGGAATTTTTCAGCGGAAGATGGCCGCAATCACAAACAGAATCGTTGCGAAGCTCATAGGCCAATTCGGTGTCCCCGAGACGGCACGTCGCCACCAACGCGAGCGTCGTAGCCGCTACTTCAGGTGACTTAAGATGACACCCCCCCTGGAGTGATTTTTCAAAGCTTGAATACCCCAGCAGAACGAATAAATAGCGGCGCCGAAAAAAGTGACGTCGGAACCGTACCGTCGGAATTTTTTCGGATACGGGTCATTTGATACAAACACCCTTTCCGTCATGGAGTTGCAAATCGAGTTTCGAAAAACGGCCGAGGGGGGGATGGCGCCGTACCTTGTGTCACCAAAACACGGCATGCACAACTCCCGACAGAAACAAGTGCTGTCCTTCCCGCCACCACTCAGGTGGCCACGAATAGCCTACAAGAAGACCCACTCACCCGGGTGTACCGCACTGCGCTGACAGACCCGTTTCCCCCACGGGCCGCGCGAAACCGAAGTCCGCGAGCTTGATCACCGCGTCGTCGTCGTCGCTAACCAGCAACAAGTTCTCCGGCTTGAGATCCCTGTGCGCAATGTCTCGATCGTGGCAGTACTTGATGGCCTTGAACAGCACCTTCAGCACGTCCCTGTACAGTGGCAGAGCGTGTAGTCGTGCGGGTTGAAAACGAATCATCGTCGTCGTCGTCGTCATCGTCGTCGTCGTCATCGTCGTCGTCGTCAGAGGGCGAGCGCCGGAAATAGACGGGGGGCGCTATGCATACCAGAGCAGCTCAAGCATTCCGCGCCAAAAAAAAAATCGTGCCCGGGGCAACCTCAAGCAGTAAATTACAAGCGCGGTGACCGAAAGAATGTGAACGTCAGGCTCTTCTTCCCGTTACAACAAGCGCATGCACACTCCAAAAGGGGTGATCCAGACGCTCATTAACCAACCGCCGCCCCCGCCCCGCCGCCTGGCCCCCCGTTTCCGCCCTGCCCCTTCGCCTGTGCACCCCCGGGAAATGAACCAGTCACAACTTTCGCGGTTTCGTATCCTTCATCCCGCTTGCCCCTTCCGCTTCAAATCCCCGTCTTGTCGGGTATCTTCGTGGACCTCCTCGTTTCTGCTCGATTGTTTCTTCGTCCCCCTGTGTGTTTTGGCCATGACACGAGCATCTTCTCCGTCTTCCCCTTGACGACACCGGCTCCGCCCTGCACTTTTGCAGCTCATTCCCTAATCCCCATCTACTAGATAGATTCCTTCCTTGGGCCAACCTTTCCCTCGCCTTTTTCCATCTTCACTTCCGGTCAACACGTTCCACCCCCATCCCTTCACCCTCGTTTATGCATTATTTGCCCGTACCACTCCCTCCCTCCGTTGGCCGTGCTTTCTGACCTGGCCTCCTTCTCGTTGTAGACCTGCTTGAGCACGATGCGGTCGAACAACTCCCCTCCGTCGAGTATCTCCATGACGAGGTAGAAAAAGTGCTTCTCCTGGTAGAAGTCGTAGAGCTTGACGATGTTCTCGTGCTCGATCTACAGCCGTTGGCGGCAACAAAAACCACAAGAAAACAAAAGGACCGGCGACAGCCACACAGGCAAGGATGAAGGCAGGCGGGGAAGGTTGGCCAGCAGCAGCAGGCGAGAAAACGGGCCAAGTCTCGCACGACACAGAGCGTCGGAAGATGATGATGATATACCTCGGAAAAAGAAGAAGAGAGTGGAGCGGATGCGCTGCTCGTATATTTCCTAGTAGCCTTGTTTGTTGACGACTCAAAACCATCCATTAATCATAAAGCCTCTCCTCTACAGTATGCCAAGCGAGGCCGCAAAGGTTGTCGCTTGGCCTTAGCCCCGGTCACCGAGCGGTGTAGCGCGACGACGACGACAACAACAACAACAACAACAACAACAACAACAACAACAACAACAACAACAACAACAACAACAACAACAACAACAACAACAACAACAACAACAACAACAACAACAACAACAACAACAACAACAACAACAACAACAACAACAACAACAACAACAACAACAACAACAACAACAACAACAACAACAACAACAACAACAACAACAACAACAACAACAACAACAGCAACGACAACCACAACGGCAACGGCAACGACAGCAACGTGCTCCCAGACATGATCCAATCCCCATCTCACCCATCCCTAGCGCCTGCCGGCTCACTCACCTCCTGCAAGAGCTTGACCTCCATCTTTAGGTCGGCCTCGTCCTCCGGAGGCAAATCCGCCCGCTTCACGCACTTAACGGCGAATCGCTCGCCACTCTCCTGGAACACGCCAGGGTGAGCGATAAACAAGCATGGTTGGGTGGGTGGGCGGGTGGGGTCGTGAAAGTGCTGAATATTGAGTGGCACATCCGCAAAGCAAGCACCACATAAACGCCGCCGCCGCCGCTGCTGCTCCTGTTGCTGCTGCTGAAGCTCTCTCCGTCAGATTGTCCAACCAGTTCCATTGTGAGTGGCGACCCCAAGCGCAAGACCAGCATAATTTTCCACGAAGCGGATCTCTGCAAGTGGAGCAACAAGAACCGCCTTTCTCCGTCGCTGAGCCCGACTTTCCCGATAGAACAAACAAGACCAAGACTGCTGTCAACACTTAAGTACAATATCTCATTCTAAGATATATCTCAAGCAAGACCAAGACCGCGGTCAACATCAAGTCAAGATCTCCCCTTGCCATTTAGAACAGGCAAGACCAAGACTGCTGTTGTCAACACCAAGTCAAGATCTTATTTTACCATACAGAACAAGCAAGACCAAGACTGCTATCAGCACTAACATCTATTTTTACCATATAATAGCACAAGCAAAAGAACAAGCAAACGGAGGGGCGGGAGCGGGGAGGCTCTCGTGCGACCCGTCGACCTAAGACGATGAGGTCGCTACCTGACTACCTACACCATGTCCGTGGGTGTGGGTGTGAGTGGTGTGGTGTGCTGCTTTTCATATCTCGGCTCGATGCGCTCGCCCTTCGTGCGAGGGTGGCAGGGACTAAACACCAAAAACAACAGAAAACAAAAAACGAACAGGGAATTCGTACCCCGTTCCAGTCGGTTGTGCCTCGACCGTCTTAACAACTGCTGCATTTTTCACATGTGGAACGCGGAACGTTTCAGCGGATGCGTGGTCCGGCGAGGGACTCTGAGCCCACACCACCCAAACCAACAGCCAGGCGGAAGAGGAGGCGGTGTGGGTATGTTTCGAAGGAAGCCTTTGACGAGCTCCAATTGTTCTCGGTGTGCTAGATAGTAATGTACGTGCAACTAGAGCAGGCGGTGGTGGTCGTCGTGCAATCCGCCGCGCCCTCGAGAGGGCTCTGGGATGATTCTTAATCTCGACCGCAGTGAACCGGCAGCTTCCAGACTTTTCGGTACTCCTTCCCAGTGAAAGCTCGTTGCCTACGCCCCCAAAAAACGGAAAGGTACACGGGCACCATGCTGTCCGTTTCTCATATATACAGCGAGAACGCCTGATGATCATGATACTACCTGCCGAGATCGGTTGTAACCGGTAGCAGGCAGCCGCACCTGTGGCAGCGAAATGCCCAACGAACTGATCACAACGCTTGTGCTTCTCAGGAACCATGGCGTGCTCTTTGTTTGCCATCGACAAGCTCATCGTTCCCGATGTGGCGTTTCAACAATTGTTCTCCGCCACTCACTGCAACGACACGCACCCTTCGGACTGCTGTGTAGACGGCGTGCGAGAGAAGTGATTCAATTGGCAGAATTGTTGCTGTGGTACGTACCTACTTATCTCGATCGGGCACACCAGTTAGTCCTCAGTTGTTGCATTTTCGCTTACATGAAAAAAAATGAAGTTTTTCACGAAAATTATTCGTTCGGCGGGAATACACCAACGTGTGTGGAACCCCGGCGGTAGCAATATTTCCAGGAACGTTTTTTCGCGCTGTTTGGCAAATAAAACCCCAAAGTAGAAGGAAAAAACAGAAAGGACACAAAATGCGTGCCAACATGATGAGCACGACGGCGGCGATGTGTGTCCCCCAAAAAATCTGCTTACTGCGGGTTTCGGCAATGCTTAGGCGTAGCCAAGGGAGCAACGAAGCCAACGGCACTCATCGGCTAGCGCCCCACCCCCTGCCCACAAACAACAGCAGTGTACGCCATCCTCCTGTCCTCGCTTGCTTCGTATTTTATGTACTTGAATGACCTATGCGATCATACGCTACAACCAGTACGGAGGTTTGTACTCTCGCTTTCGTCCCAGCCATGAGCGCCAAGAGTCCAACCAATGGATCTCAACTACAACAACAAAGTGTCTTTTAGTCCACGACACACGCGTACGTATGCTGAGCAGCCCCCGCCCCCTCCCGCCCCGCGTCCCTCTCGGCGAGAAACAAAATTACGATGTAATTAGAGAGGGCTTGTAGCTAAGGGAGGCTCCGCCCCCCCTGCACACATGCTGATGTTGTTGCGCCCTGTTTCCCTCCCTGCTGTATGCTATACTCCTTTATGTATGTCGTTTGTATTGCCTTCGGCATCTGTGCTGTTTCTTTTTTCTCATGTCCTCCCTGCCTACTCTGCCGTGTTGGGTACCAAGATCTCCCTTTTACCGTTGCTTTGTTTTTAGCTGCCTCTTTGTTCTGTTGCCTCCATTACTCCCATGCCCTGGTGCGTAATGCCTGGTGCTGGTATGCATACGTTACCCTTTGATTTTTTCTTTCGGCGGGTGTGGGAAGCGTCCTCCTATGTTTTTGTCTGATATTTTTTGATCGGCTTCCGAGGGCTCTTTTCTCGACCGATCGGTGCGGTAGCTGTTCCTTTCTTTCTATCTGTTTGTTCTCTTTTTCCGAATAAATGTTACCCTATTTTTGTTTTTGTTTCCCCGCGGCGTCGATTGTGCCGGTTTTTGAGGCCACGGGCTCCCTGTTGTTGTGGACAAATTGTGAGAAACAACAACAACAACAACAATAACAACAAAAACAACATGCACGCCAGCAGCAGCAGCAGCAGCAGCAGCAGCAGCAGCAGCCGGGGGGAGGAATGCATACGCGGCGATAACAACGATCCAGCAGCATCTTGAAGCACACGGCAGTATGGTTGACAATACAGCAGGCAACAAAAAACAAACCGCTCAGAGTACTGGTATGTAGAAGCAGACGAAGACATGCCCACCTTGTGAGTCCCTTCCCGTACAGTTGAGAAGGAACCATGCCCGAGCTCCTTGCCCAGCTGATACATCTGCTCGAAGCCCGGCCTCGGCTCGCTCGACCCCACCGCCCCGACGTTCGACTTGGTCAGCGATATCTCCCTGATCGACACGGGTGCTCCCCCGCCTGCTGCCTGCTGGGCCGTCTGTTGCCCCCGGAGGGAGCCTGGAGCCCCAGCACCCCCAGAGTCACCCGAATCCTCATTTGTGTTCTTCGACTACAATAAAAAGAGGAGGGTGAGAGCAGGTGTACAGCAGTAATGACACGCGAGACAGGGGAGTAACATGCCCGACACAGCCAACAAGCCGAGAGACAAACGCGCGATTCGAAGGCGTTCGGTTAGCTTGGGCATGCCATGGAAGCCAAAGCAGAGACTTGCATACACCTCCTGTCTCTCTATCTCTCTCTCTAGGATGCATGTTGACGTAATGCGACGGCGGGCAAACGGCAAATATGACCGAAAAAGCTGCTCGATTGTGGCACATATGTACCTAGATTCAGTGAGTAGCGATGTTGAGAAACGAACAACGAGCAGGGGTATACTCTAGTCAAGCACGGGATGAGAAGCAACTCCATCGCAACGGGGGCTGAGCGAACACTGATGTTCTTACCGATATGCAACCCATGACCGAGACCTTGGAGGGTGTATCAGGCGTGTATGTGCCTCCCCTAGAGAGACAAACAACGACACGCTGGGAGCAGGAGAGAGCGCGCGGAAACTGCGAAGGGGGGCCGACAGATAGCAGGACAATCACCCTCACGCCGCAGTTGTCGTGCTGCGTCCTTGTCTGTGTTGTTTCTGTCTGTGGGTATTTATTATTAGCGTCGACCGCGCTAACCGGCTGACCAATTGTTGTTGTTTTTGTTTCACATTAAACTCGGGGCAGTTGCTAATCCCAAAATCTAGCAAAGACTCGTTCCGTGGTCACAAAAATGCTAGAGCCATCAGAAAATCTAAAGAACACACACACTAGTCTAATATTAGCAAGAAACGGGTATACAAGCCCGAGGAGGTACACCTACAATCCCTGCAGCACGTTTGCGTGCTCACAACTGAACTACACGCCCACACACTACAATTCGACTACAGCAGCAGCATTACCCCCCTTGTCCCGCATTTAACCAAAATGAATGTTTGTCGACTACAGCGTACTGCTGTCTGAAGTGCTGTCTCTACAATAATAACGCCATGGTGCATGGTACACAACAAGCTCGGGGCATGCAGCTGCTGTCTAAAGCGCTGTCAGAATGAGTCCGTGGACATACAATGAACAACAACGGGGAACGACTCCTTGGACTGGCGTCAGACAACCAACTCTCTCCCTGACCAACACCTACTTCCGGACACCGAAAGTTGGAGTGCAGCACACATTCCAGAGCTCCAACAAGGGAAAGGAGAAGTAGTACCGCCTCGACTTCATCCTCATGCGTCAGGTGGACCGGCGTTTCGTGCGCAATGTCTCCGTCAAACGTGTCGACTTCAAAGACTCTGACCACAACCTCGTGCTTACGACTGTCCGCCTCCCCCCCCGTGTCGCACCCAACCGACGAGTGCGGGGAAACANGTACCGCCTCGACTTCATCCTCATGCGTCAGGTGGACCGGCGTTTCGTGCGCAATGTCTCCGTCAAACGTGTCGACTTCAAAGACTCTGACCACAACCT